TCTAACCAAAACGGGACCGCCAACCTTAGCAAGGGAAACCGGGGACCGCCAACGTTAGGAAAAAAAAGTGCTCCGCCGGATACCATTTGAGCAGGTGTATATCCTCCTGCCCCATGCTCCGTATGCTACCACGTATAGTAGATGAATCAATGCCTTGCTATACATTAATTATTGCCATATGGTTATACATTAATTGTTGCCATATGTACGTATAGCTGGCTATTCCCTTCTTCTCCCTTTGGTTCGCATTGGTTCCCCTCCCCGCCTGTGGAACGGATTCTGAGTTCTCTCTTGTAATGGTTCATGTGCTATCACATATGGTATAGGGGGCATATGTGGTTTGCTACATGCTGCTGCCAGTTATCTGCTGGCAGTTATTTGCCTATTCCCCTCCCCCTTTTTGTTATTCGGGTTGTTTCCCCCTATTGGATGGTTCTCCATCCGTGCATGCTGTGCTGCTAGGGTGTGGAATGTGTCCTCTTCCTCATGCCAGCCCTCTGGTGCGCGGTACTTCTGTGTTCGGAGCTTCGTCTCTGTCCAAAAGCTTCTGAGAAACTGTGTAAAACGGGACGGGTTCTCCCGCGCAGTGGTATCCTCCACAAAGACGTTTTGGGGGCAGGGGGCAGGGGGACCGCATGCACTTAGGGCGAGTGCGTGCGCAGAACGCACACTGCACAACCATATATGTATATACAGTATTACTACGTATACAAAAACAGACTCTGCATATACAGATTAGTTTTAGCAACCAGAGTAAAGCTAGTATTTGTAGTTTATGTAGCGCAGTGTGAAATGGATGCGCCGCGCTTGACACCAAGGCTGTGAAAGGTCGTGTGAGCACGGGCACGTATCTCAAGATGATGAGTGCTTTGGACGGATGCTGCGTCGGACCGGTGGCGCAACTCGGCACAGATTCCTTTTAGATCTGTTGCTTGCCTTCGCCCCCAAGTGGAAGTGGCAGAGAAAGGAAACTCTGGACCTGCCCTCCCCGCAACGTGGAAGCTCGGATGTACAACTAGTGGGTCGAGAGTGTGCGCTGCGGAATTTCGTAACGCTGTCATCGCATGTTTAGAACCCTCATTGAAGCGCGATTGCTGTCATGAGGTCAAGTGGGTCGATTCCAGCGGATACCCTACATCCACCTCCACCAACAACCGTTCGGTGGTCTTCGCAGGACGTCTGTCCTTGTCCAACTGCTATGGTAACATGGCCGGGAGCATCCTAAGACGCAGCTTTCTCGAGAACTTATCTTCCTAATGCTTGATCTTCAGGATCATTTAATCCACCGCATCATGGCCACTTCGAGATCATCCGGTACCTATCAAAAACATTTTCTGAAGTGTTCCTTGGAGCCATTCCGAAGAATTCCAAATTCGGTACTCAGCGCTTGAGAATCTGCTGAGCACATGCTCAGGCATGTGGTAATTGGCATCAATCCAGCAAAGTGCCCCACTCGGCATTTCGTGTCCCAGAGACTCCTAGAGACTCCTGCAGTCGCAGTTATTGTGATTTTCACCCGAGCAAAGGACATACCCGGTTAGTCGAGGTCTCAAAACTTGCTGCATGATCGCGCGCATACATGCACGACTACTTTGTTCAACCTGAACTCCTGCTGAGGTCCCGATGAGCGCAAGGCGATTATCGAGCAGGCGCTTCCATCCATGGGAGCGCAGAATGTCAAGGTCGCTTGACTTGAATAGATGCGTGCAACATGACAGACGGTCTTGCGTCTTCGAGGTGTGGGTATGGGGCGATGCCGCTTGGCTGGATAGCGCATGCCCGGACCAAAGAAGGATCAAATGTAGCGTTCGACTTGCAAATACTACGAGGTCATCTTCAAGTTGGCGAGAAAGGTCGGTGCAACTGCAATGTGAATCTTCAGCAATTATGCAGCTTGCGGTGTCTATCTCTGTGTGGACAGCTTTTCCGTTAGTGCAAGGTGTTCCCTGATGTTCTGTGCTACTACTTAGGTATCGTGGCATTCGCAGCTGGCAAGAAGATGGGAAGGCCGAAAGGTACTTGGAGGCGGATTCGTGCCGCGATCTCTAGCAGCTGCCGACTGAGTGCCTTCCACACGACGAAGCTTGCAGCATGTGCAGCATGTGGCAGGTTCAGAACGTTTGCTGGCCTGTTTTGTCAACTTGTGCATCGCCTATGAGCCTTTTGGACTGGATGCGGTGCAGCAAGCTTTCGCTTCTGTGTGTTTCAGTGCCGACGACTAACCAGGCACGTACTTCGTGGAAGGGCCGCCGCAGTACTCCTTCGTGAGCTCTACGCTCCTGCGGGAGCGGCTGAAATCTGGCCAGAGCATAGCCGACATTGTTCCGGCATTTTGGCTGCACACTTCTGAGGCAATGCCGTGGACTCGCCTTTGCTTGTCTCGTGCAAGGCAGTGGTGGCTGACAAAGTCCGTGCAGCTTACGAAGGCAAGCTGTGAGTATTTGGGAGGGTAAGAACGGCTGCTGAACCATGCTGAACCATGGCTGGCCATTGGTATGGGCGCGGGATGATGCTGGATACAACCACGAGCTCTGCGCTGTGCTCGGATTGAGACGGTGAAGCACGTCGCAGTTCGAGCCGAGACCTGAATCGCACCTATCCGGTGCTGTTCTGTAGCAAGCTGCTGCTGCCGAGAAGGGACGCGGAGGAGATTGAGAGAGCGAGACCAAAAGCGCGACTGATGCAATCTTGCACATGTCGCTTAACCCCTCGGCTGTAGAGAGCTTGGTATGCCTGGTATGCGTCAATGTAGGCTGTGGGCTCAGGTGATTTCATTTCCAACAGACACCACACGCACATGAACTCGACCATCTGGGTACGCCCTACTTGTGAGATCCGTGGCTTTTCTGGTCAGTAGGATCGAGTTCCGGGATTCCGAGCCCGGTGTGACTGATGTTTTTGGTTGCTTTGCCAGGTCACTCTCAGCAACTTCGTCCAGTACCTGGGAAGGACGAACCAGTGCACCATCGACAAGACTCCAAAAGGCGCGGATGTGCAGAAGAGTCCCTACAGACTTCGTTGTGTAATACACAAGCCTCCAGGCTGGTACCTGCAGTTTGTGGATAACTCGCCGGAAGCCCGCTTGCGAGCTGCAGCGGCCAAGGCCACTCGGGGCCTCTGCCAGGCTAAATTTGCTTTCGCTGGACCCCGGTCAAGTTGGGCAACAACTTCACTCAGCATCAGGCGAAAGAGGAAGGTGAGGTTTCTTCAGAGCAAAGGCATGACATTGCCTTGCGTGCTGCCAAGTTTCTTGTGTTTGCCTGGTGTGCCGCGGCACGCTAGTGCGGTGCTAGCACTCAGGAAGAAAGCCATAGCAGAGTGCAAGAAGGCCGATCTCAAGTGGCCAGAGAAAAGATCAATTAGATGAGTCGTCTTGTGAGCTATGGCATTGCCTTTTCGTAGGATGGAGGCTTCCAGGAGTCAGAGTTCACGGAGCTCCAGCGCAAGGCATCTGGAATGCGTGGATGGAGCCCTTATGAACCCTTCGTTTGACAGTCTTCTGTTCCACGGGTCAGTGCCAGACCTTAAGGCTTTTGAGGCCACCTCCCCGAATCTGCATTCAAGCTGCCACTCCTCCCAGGCCAAGCGCATCATCATCATCATCATCATCATCGTCATCATCATCGGAACCTTAAACTGTTGCTTGGCTGGGGCCGAGACACGAGAGCACATTGACATAGGCACCTACCTGCAATCTGAGTCCGAGCTTTGACTTAGAGTGGAGTGACTTTGAACCTAAAGCTGCTGTTCCCCATTCCTGTGCTGTCCGGCTTGGGATTCAGACGGTCCGGCCCAAAGTACACTGTAAGACCGTGGGCCCGCACCTCACCGTCACTTGCAATGGCCAGGTGTACACCACAAGTACCTCAGAACGTGTGGAACTTGCTGAAGTGTTTCCCTATTTGGTCATGTTCGCACAATTTCACACACTTCAGACAGTGAACACGCACGAGCCATGTGCGTAAAGTCGAGTTAATTGGCTGGGACGGTCATGTTCTGCGGACATTGCTCCATTGCTCGAACCTTTTGGAGATGTCGCCAGAATGCTTCTTGTTTTACGAATCGGCGACCTGCGACCCTGACATAGCCAAGTGTTTGTGAGCACCTCCAACATGCGACAACATGTTTCATGTGTATCTTCAGTCTGCATGCATGCAGAGCTAAGCCGCCGAGAAGATTGGGCTCTTGCTGCTGGCGTGACGATAGAGGCTCAAACGACATATGGGCGAAACTTCACCCGTGCAAAGTGCCGCAAGACGTATCGCTTTTGCAGGAATCACTTTTGACATTGCTTCCCCAGATCACTCGAAGTGTAGTTTGTGAAGTGAGGCATCAAAGCACCGTGGCTGTACACTGTGGCATAACCCGTGCAGTGGCACATGCGTCCTGGCCGAAGTGACCTGCAAGAATAATGTCACATCGTCCAGGAAGGTGATGCTCCGATTTCTTTCAACATGGCGCCGCGCTCCAAGATGGCTGGGATTCTTCAGGTGAGCCTCAAGCAAGTGGCACTGGTGAACACTTCGAAACGAGCTCAGGACCGGATCGGCCTCCTCATCGGCTCCGGCGAAACCTCCTCCAGTCAAGGAGGTTTCAGCTTCCGAGAACTCCCTTGCAGGTAGCAAACTTCTAGCTCATGTCCCCCGGTCTCTTGCGAAAGGTCTCGGAGGCTGCCGTCAAGAAGTGTTGACCTCACGGCGACGGCAATTGTCGCCTGGGGGGCGGATGAAGAGGTTGGCGTGCCTGCCTTCAAGACAGATGCCAAGGAATGCTCTTGCGCAAGCGTTTGAAACACAAGAGACGACTAAAGAGGCGCAGGAGGGCAGCCAGACAATTACATGGAACGGAGGGTGTGAGCCAGGACCACCTCCAGCAATCCTGTTGCTTGGGTTTCAGGACACAAAGAAGCACAAGCTGAGCGCGGTGGAGCGCATCCGAATGGAACACGAAGAATCTAAAAGGCGCAGCAGTATCGCTCTCCGAAGCTGTGTAAGTATGTAAAGTTGCCAGGCAGAAGCTGCAGCCTGCACCGGCGTCCCCTTCTGAAAGTTCTTCTTCAGGCCAAGTGCACAGATCAGCAGTGCTCAGTATAGTGCGCTTTGCGCTGGGGGACAAATTCTGTCAGGCTCAGAACCTTGGCTAACGGAAGGCATCATCGTGAAGGCCATTGGATGCAGCCGGTGCAGACGAAGCGCCATCCTGCTCTGTAAAGATGAGTTTTCCAGGTGATGCATCAAGACCTAGCCGGTGGTAAATATTATCGCAAGAAGGGCAAGGTGCACTCTTTCTTGTGGTGGTTTGTTTTCGTCGAACTTTGTGGATCACGTGCAGGTAGAAAAAGTCCGCAAGCAGTTTACCGCTGACATCCGCATGGTCGAAAGCAGGCGAGCCTTAGTGACTGCTTTCAAACAGTAGTGAGTGACTCGCAGTTAGCAGTAATTGATCAGGCTTCTTTTTCAAGAGATGTTGTCGACCCATGGGGTAAACACTTGGCAGCTATTTTCCAGCAAAAGAGGGGCGCTTGTTGACCAAAACGCTACCGTCCCGCGATCATATCATTTTCAAGTTACATCTTCCCTGAGTAGAGGACTTATCTTCCAAAGATAGAAGTGACATTCCTTCGGAGCAGCCATCTGTACGCAAGTTGCACGTAGAATACACCAACTGTGACAGTTATCTGTACGATGAAAATTACAAATTCAAAGCCCGCAAGGATGACAGTTATTTGTATGTTGAAGTCCATAGTTGACCGTGGCTAGCACGACGAAAGCGATGTTGCCTGCATTTAGACTTCTGCAAACCTAGCAGGTAGTCCGTGGGCTGACATCACGTTCAGATCAAGAGGGCTTTCGTTTGCTGTTCGTAGTTGTCCCTGTAAGACACGGGTGGCCTGAGTGGAGAGCTGTCAGTGGAGGAACATGCAGCGTGCGATTGCAAGGTGCTGCTACGACGAGAGCATGATGAAACGACCCAGAAGAATCACAACAAAGGGGTGCAAAGAGTTTTGTGGAGGTTGAGAATCTTTTTGTGAGCAGGAAACTAGGTTCTATTTTCATGCTCCAGACATAGTGTGTCACCGAAGAAACATTACATTCGATTCCCCCCATGATAACATACGAAAATTGATGTCTCACGGGGCCAGGTGGGCACCGTGCAGACCAGACACAACTTGGAAAAATCCCCATCCCATGGACTCCTGAAAAGTTTGCCCTACACAGCCCTTCACGGAAACTCGGATGGGAACAGACTCTGCATGAGTCCTGTGAGTCGAATCAAGGATGTTTGATTCGCAGGGGTTGATGCAGGGAATGCATTGTTCTTGTTCCGGAGAGGCACAAATGATGTCCTGGTATTGGCTAGAGTTTAGAGAGGATAGGACAGGTAAAGGGGAATGGTGGGTGTCGAGAAGATATGTGAAGCTGCTCTTTTTGGTTTCGGAAGAGGATTGGTGTTGGAGTTGAGGGGAACAAACCCTTTGCATCAGGACCCTCCTCTGCAAGACATGTGTCGAGTGTGGCTCCCGGGTGTGCGTAGTTTTTGAATAGTTTATTTGTCTAAGGTCGTTTTTGCAAGATAGTATCGTTGTTGTTGAGGGCAAGCGTTTCATTTATGTCCAAGATATGTGTCGCTGCCAACGAAAATGGGCTTTATGCTGGTGTAAGACAAGAGTGTGTTTCAGAAGGGTAAGCAGTACGTAAGATAAGTGCTGCTTGTGACAGTCGTGTGGGGAGTTACCATTGGAGACGGACCAGAAGGCGTGCCTTGCTCCCCTGCACAGGGACCTCATTCGCTTGGACCAGGAGATGCTGGAGTCGGGCACTGACTTCACACCAGCGACAGGTTTCCTTCCCTCCAATGCTTCGATGACAAGGACCGTTATCCCCAACCTGGGCAAGCCAGTCATGGTGGTCCGTCCCCCTAGTGCTAGCAGCTGGTGAACTTGTCATCGGCTTCGCCTGAGGTGAAGGGTCAGTACAAGGGGAAGAAGGGACACATGAGGACTCGAAGTTGTCTTGCATCCGTGCATTCTGCGCAGTGAGAGACCACCGCATCAGCAGGACAGTGGACCTGGAGGCTTTCTGCGTCGCAGTTCTGCTCGAGGACGGCCGACTGCACACTTGGTCACCTGGTTCGGGTAGACAGTTCTGCCGCAGCGAGTCCATCGCAACAGTTCTGCACGAATCCCGGGGCCTCCAAACCACGGACCAAAGGCGGGGAGGGGTCACCACCCCCACCCTCCCGGCCCGTGGCCGGCTTAAATAGGGTCTATTTGGCAGCTGGAGCTGTGTGTTTACATATACCAGGCTTCTGACGGTGCTCTGCAAAACGGGTTGCACCGCCATCATCCCTTCATCTTTTCTGGCGAAGATGCTCTGGCTTGTCCCCCACATATTTTTGGTGCAGCGAGTATCCCCCTCATCCTGCTTTGGCTTGCCCCCCTGCTCGACTTAAAAGGGGTGCGACTTTGTCAGCTGGGCGGGTGGGAAAACAAAGACTTAAAACGACAAGCCGGGTCCCTAAGATTTTCAGTCTAAGCTTTCCTCCAAAGAGACAAACCGCAAGTCCTTGTCCCTATCTTTTTTGCTTTACACCCGTATCTCTTGTAGAAGAACTTACACCAGAAATCTTAGTGACCAAGCCTTGCGATGTGTCTCGTTGATGAAGAGCTTAAACCCAAAATCTGCAAGATTAGGGTTTGCAATTTGTGTCTTTGGGTTAGGGTGCTTTGGAAAATCTTTAGTTGCAGAGTGCCCCACTCGTCGCCCCACTCGTCCCCCTCATATCTTCTGGCGATGATGCTCCAGAAAATCTTCACTCGCAAGGAGTGTGTCCCCATCATCTCTTCACCTTTTCCGGCGATGATTCTTTAGTGAACCTTGAGTCGCAAGAAGTGTCCTTCTTATCTGTCCTGGTGATGATAGTGATGATGTTCCGGAAAACCTTCTCCCCCTTGCGCTGCTTTGCCTTCCCTCCGGGTTCTTCTAAAGGACACTTCGCAAGCTCTGGTCCTTAAGATGTTTGGTCCAAGTTCTCCTCCTGAGGGTCGAATCGCAAGCCCTGGGAAAAACGATTTTGGGTGTGAAGATTGGGGGAGAACTTCTACCAGAAACCTTGGGGACCAAGGCTTGCGATTGGTCTCTTCGGAGGAGAATTGAAACCCCAAAATATGAAAGACTAGGGTTCGAATTAAAGCTTTCAGTTGCAAGGAGTGCCCCCTCATCCCGTCATCTTTTCTGGAAAATCGCGGCTGACAGACCTCTGAGTCCGCGAGAGAGAGATGGTCTAGAAAACCTCCAATCGCAGGGATTGTTCCCTAAGGTTTTATGGCGATGCTCTAGAAAACCTTGAATCGCAAGGAGAGCCCCCGTCATCGTTTTAAGGCGCTGTTGACCTTCAATCGCAAGGATTGCCCCCTGATCCCTAGGTCTTTTCTGGTGATGACCTCTCGAGAAAACCCATAAAATCGCAACGAGTATCCCTCATGTCTTGTCTGGTGCAAAGAGTGTCACCCTCATCCTGCTTTGGCTTGCCCCCCTGCTCTGGTCTGGTTTCTCCAAAGACTTAAGAGACAAATCGCGAGCCTTGCTCGGTCAGATTTTTAGTCTAAGTTTTCCAAGAGAAAGACAAATCGCAAGCCCTGGTCCCTATCAGTTTTGGTCTACCTCCCTTCTCTGTTGGATCAGAACGGACCCCAACAATCTTAGGGACCAGCTTAAAAACATGGTCTGCCAGCTTTGCTGAAACAAGAACGGGCCAGACAACAGCGCAGACTAGCAAGTTGGATTCTTGTGTCGGTGAAAAAAGAGGAAACGGAAAAGGGCCAGAGAATAGCTTAAAGTGGCAGCGTGCCTTTCTTGATGAAACAAGAAGAGGCCGGCCTACAGCATGGACTAACAAAAGGTTTTTTCGGTGCTAGTCAAAGACAAAAGGGAAAGAGCCGCAGCATGCACTAGCAAAATGAGCCCTGTTTTTCGGTAAAGGAACAGAGAATAGGTCATCAAAGTGGGGTGCTTCTTTTGGTGAAACAAAAAGGGGCCGGGTTCCAGCATAAACTAACAAAGTGGCTTTTCGTTGGCGAAAAGAAAAGGGAAGGAGGCCACAGCAATCACTAACAAAATGGGGCTTGGTTGGCTTGGTTTTCGGTCAAGGGGCCACAAAATAGGTTCACAAAGTGGCGTGTCTTTTTTGGTGAAACAAAAGGGGGTCGGGCCCCGGCTCAGACTAACACAATTTTCTCGGTGAGCAAGGGGAAAAGGACGGGGGCCACAGCATTCCCGAACAAAATGGGGGCTTGTTTTTCGGTACAGGGGCCACAAAATAGGTTAACAAAGTGGCGTGTTTTCCATTGGTGAAAACGAAAAGCGGCCGGGCCACAGCTATGCCTCTTCTGGTGAAACAAGACGCCCCAGCATAGACTAACAAAATGGGGCTTGTTTGTCGGTCGAAAAAGAGGAATGCGAAAGCGGCCGCAGACTTCACTAACAAGGTGGGGCAGGGTGGAGATGAGGGTGGGAGGTCGGGTGGGCTGTGGGGTGACGGTGGTGGATGGGAGGGTGGGAGCAGTGAGAGAGGTGAAGAGGAGGGCGGGGGTGGGGTGGGCTGCGGGGTGACAGTGGAGAGAGGTGTGGGGTGGCGATGGAGTAAGGTGGGGTTGTAGGGTAGGTCGGGTGAGGTTGGGTGAGTGGTGGGATTGATACACGTGATAAAAAAAGATGATAACAAGGTAATAAAAGTTATGAAAAGGCGATAACACCGTGATAAGAATTGGTGAAGGGTTAAAATTTGTGATAAGAGGTGATGAAAGGGTGAGCAGGGGTGATAAGGTGCTAAGGAGATGATAAAAAGGTGTGGAATGCGCGAGCACGGGGTGGTGACAAAAGAAACTTGCTGGCAGAAGCTGAATGGTGTGGAGCGGTAAGGGTGTAGGGTTATGGGTGGGCGGAGTGAAGTGGAGTGGAGCAAGGGAGGATGGCTCCCCCCGGGTTGAAATTATATAATTTTATGCCCCCACAGGGTCCCGGACCCCTCCTCGGTCGGGGAAGTAAGTATTAAAAAGAAAAACATCCTGGGAGGGGGTCCCGGGGAGCGGTGTAATTTAGATAAATTCGAAACCTGGGCCGCTCCCCGGATTTACATTATTTTCATTCTCTGCCCCCACCTGGCCCGGACCCCCTCCCCAGAATTTATAATGAAAGAATGAAACAGAGAATGAGTGTGTGGATGGATGGATGGATGGATGGATGGATGGATGGATGGATGGATGGATGGATGGATGGATGGATGCATGGATGGGCGATTGACTGAAAATGAAGGGAATGAATGAATGAATGAATGAAATGGAATGAATGAATGAACGAATGAATGAATGAAATGGAATGAATGAAATGGAATGAATGAACTGGAATGAATGAATAAACGAAATAAATGAATGAACGAATGCATTAATCAAATGAATGAAATGAATGAAAGGAATGAAAGGAATGAAATGAAATGAATGAATTGAATGAAGGAAGGAATGAATGGAATGAGTGAATGGAATGAATGGAACCCATGAATGAATGAGTCGAATGAATGAACGAGCGAGTGAATGGATAAATGAGTGCATCAATGAAATGAATGATTGAGTGAAATGAAATGAATGAAATGAGACGAAAATTGAATGCAACGGTGAGCGAAATGGCCGAAATTAATGACATGAATGAAGTGAATCAAATGACATGACTCCCACTACCACCACCTCTTGGACTCTGAGTGGGGGAGGGGTGAGAGGGGGGTTGGGGGGGGGGTGCGCAGAGGGTCTGGGAAGGGCAGGGGGTGTGGGTGGGGGCCGGCTTGCCTCAAATGCAGAACTCTCCTTGTAGGACGGCCGGGACGTCGAGGGTCTTCGGTACGACGAGGTCTACAAACCCTGACTATCCTGTTATTCTTGTCTTTTCGCAGCGTTCCCGAGGTCTGCAAAACAGAAGAAAGCTGACTTGCACTCTGGGGCGAGAATGCTAGCTTCTTCTTCAAGTTTCACAATGGACATGTGCAATGTCCATTTAGATCAAAACGTGGTTGCTGCTCCAGAAGAGCCGGTCAGCACGTGTGAGCACGGGCGTGTGTCAACGCGTAGAGGCGCTGCAATCTGGCAGTGTAGGCCTGTCCCTGAGCTTAGTCGAATCGCTGCCGCAGCTTCAGCTTCATGTCGTCTGGTCGACAGTAGGGACTCGCGGTGAAGATGGGCGATGAATTCTTTGCAGGAAAGGCAGGTCCAGCGGTGACCTCTGCAGCTGCTGCCGCGGCCGCGAACGCGGCCAGAAGCACAAACATGATACCAGGGCCACCACAAGCCCTGAACTTGAGCGATGTCCACTCTCCCATGAAGGTCCCCGTCCCAGATCCCAAGAGAAAGGGTGGAGGGCGGGGGGGCAGGACTCCTCAGCGGAAGGCAGCCCCGCATGCACCACCCACACAAAACTACGACCCTGCGGCGCTGGCAGGGTTCGGTGCGTACCCGCCTTACGGCATGGCCCCACCTCCATATCCGCCTGCCGCAGGGCCTTGCCCGATGCCCCCGCCACCCATGCCGATGTACCCCATGATGCCCTTCATGTACCCAAGCATGTACCCAGGCATGGGTGCCCCGCCTCCGCCCACGGACTCCCAGAAGGGTCGAGGCAAGGGCAAGCAGAAGGACACAAAGGACAAGAAGCGGACCCGTGGAGGCAACAAGGGCCGCCAAGAGCCGAGCCCTCCACAAATGGAGGGCTCCTTAAACTGCAGTCCGGAACTCTTGATGGTCAGAAATGCCCAAGGAAATTCCGCCAAGACCAAGCTTACATTGCAGGAGGCACTGCCAAACCTGCTGGAGTTTGCACAAGACCAGCATGGGAGCCGCTTTTTGCAGAACAAACTTGACGAAGCCAGTCCAGAAGATAGTTCCGTGCCTGAAAGCAGAAATAAGCGGTTAGCTGAACGCATGGGTTGTCCATGAGCTGGCAAGTATACAAATAAAGTAACGCGAGCATGCCCAGGACAGTTGGTGTTCGCCGGAATATGTGCAGAAGACGCTGATCCGGATGCTGTATCACTGGCCAAAGATGTCAGTGGCAACTTCGTGGTGCAGAAGCTCTTTGATGTAGGCAGGTGCTTTCCACGCCCTCATGTTAAACGATGCTTCGTTGCGATAGACATAGGACAAGGAGGAACGGGACACCAGCCTGAGTCGCGAGACCTTTTTTGCCGCGATTCCTTGCCAGCCGCGTCCTGCGCTCATCTCCTGCCAGGAGATCCAGACCAGAAGAAGCTTCTTTGCGAGAAACTGCAGCCCGAAATTCCAAGTCTATCAAAAGATAATTACGGCTGCCGAGTGGTGCAGAAGGCTTGGTGGGGGGAAATGCTGGGATCAAAGTTGCAGAATTTGTGGTGGCTTTGAGGCGATCGGGGCCGTGTCCAAGGACTTGCAGGTGTTCTTGGCTTCGTCACTGCAGAACAATGTTGCAGACTGCATCGTCAACATGCAGCCTGAGCTAACCAATCGGGCCATGTCCATGACGAGCTGATTGTCTTTCGGGGTGGTCCTTGGGAGAGCAAGCCTCAACTTGACTTGGGACTGGGGCAGCTAAGGCATGGAAACCATGTGATTCAAAAGTGCATTGAACAGATGCCGCCTGATTCCGTCAGCTTCATCATCCACGCTGTCCGAGACCAAGTCCTCTTCTATCATGGCGAAAGGATCAGATTTGCCGACAGCCGAGGTGGAACACGACATCACGTACCTCGGCTTCGCAAACCGCGCAATAAAAACACGAGAAAAGCCTTGCCCCAATCCCTGTGCACGACTGTCGGGGCTTGTTCTGAAGCGTGAGGAGCCTGGCGTCACATATATACGGCTGCCGAGTTATCCAGCGTCTCCTAGAGCACTGTGGAGCAGCCCAGCTCACGGACCCCGCGTTTGCACTGGGAACGGTCCGTCTGAAACTCTGTGGCATGAAGGAGATGCTCGAGCGAATCCTCGTCAATGCTCAGGCCCTGGCAAGGAACCAGCCACGAGACTGCAGGAGGTGACAGGGTCCTGAAAGCCTCCAAAAAGAGTGTTCTTTGAACATGGGGGATGTCCGTCTGCGGACGTAGGGACGGTCTCAGAGCTTCTGAAGCGCTGCAAGCGGACCGCCTGAAGCAATGTTGGAGATTTCTCGTCAGCTTGAATCTCTGAACTGCAGAGGCAGTGGTGTGTAGGCCTAGGCCTAAAGGCCTGGAGTCTCGACGAGATTTTTCCTTCAAGCCCTTGAGTCGCGAGAGTCGCAGACTGAGGTTTGGCAACTATGTGGTCCCTTGGCTCAAGGGTTCTACTTGACTCTCCCTCCTTGGCTCGATTGCGCGTGAAAAGTCTCAAGTCATTCGGCTTGGAGGTGCAGCACATGCTGGAGCATGGGCGACTTCAGGACAAAGAGGCCATCATTGGCATAGTAAAGCGGAATATCATGGAGTTTTCCACCGACAAGCATTCGAGCTGTGGCCTGAGCAACATCGAAACATCCATCCGCTTTCAGCGTCACCGCATCGCCTCAGTGCTCACTGAGGCAATGTGGTGCCTTGCCAGAATTTGGTCGCCGTTCTTGGATTTCCTGTTGGGCAGAGGCACACCACCTGCAGGTGGAGAAATGCTTTGAGATCGCTACTATTGGAGAGCATGCCTCCCAGCTGGAAGCGGAGAGGGCCCAGCTCATTGATGCAGTGCTTGGTGTCGGAGACACAACCAGCCACCAAGATGCATTTCTTTTTGCAGCAGAAGCACGTATGTCCAAGCGAATCCAAGCGATTTATGTTGGAGTTTAGACCCAGCAGCCGGATTCCATAGGTCCCCTGTGCGAAATGATGACGCATCGGTGCTCCTGCGATACACTGACATCCCAGAGTGAAGAGACCTCTTTCTGGGCAGTCTTTCTTGGGCCACAGCTAGTCTATGCTAGTCGCACTCCGTTGCAGGTACGGAAACTATGTCGTGCAGCGAATGATGGAACACAGCCGTGGAACGGAGAGAGAGCGCATCTTCAGAACCTTGAATGCGCTTCCTATGGATTATCGGTGTGATTCTCAGATTCCGGGTGGCTGCGTGCCGGCTGCTCTACTTGCGAAGACGGAGGTCCAATCAGCATGGAATGCATATCATGAACGCCCTGCAGAAGGCTCTGGTCTTATCGAGCTGACAGTGTGCTCGTGTTCGTGATGTCACCTGCCAGGGATTCAGGGAGTTCACGCCGGATCAAGCCAGTGGCAGCTAAATGCTGGAGAGATTGAACATTTCTGGGAATCTTGGATGGCAACCAGTTTTGCTTGATGCCGTGGGGTTGCAGCTGAGCCCTGCGTAAGCTTTGAGTTGATTTCGGCACTGCGAAAGGCTGCTGGCTGAGGCACCCTCGAGCTTGCAACTGCCTTTGGTGTACAGTACCTACTACAGACAGCGGTTGGGATCAGGCAGAGCGATACTTCGCACTGGGCCAGGGGCCGTGCAATCAGTTAGGAGACCGAGTTTTGTGGAGGGATGGTTTCGATCCCGGATGGTTTCGATTCCGGAGCATCATCTGACTGCAGTGCGAATCGACAAATTTGAGTTTGCCGAAAGAACGTCCCGATCATCCCGCCAGAGTTTTCAACCATATGTAGAGCCCGTGTTTCCAGCGCAAGGCGCCTTCAGCAGTGCTAGGCTGCACCCAACAAGCCTGCACAAGACAAGCTGTGTGTGCGTGACGAGCTCGCCCGTATGTCGGGCGGCGGGGCGGCGGGCCATGGAGTGAGGACAGCAAGTTATATCAGATTCTGCAGATTCCAATCCGAGCTGTCCTCTCTTTCTTCTCAGCCCGCAGCCATGGCAAAAGAACTCGTGCCGTAGACATCCAAAGCCCGAATCAATGTGTAGATGTTGGAGGCTGTACATGCCACGATGTTTGCCCGGCGAGCGAGTCCAAAATGAAAGGCGAGGGCAACTTAGTCGTGCAGGGGTGCAGCTTTGCAAAATGGCGATGCATAGTGATCCGGCTCCCGCATGCAGCAGTAGAGGAGCGACGGACACGCAGCCAAGGGGTACACGCGCAAATTTCCCATCTAATATTAGCTCCGTGCATGTTCGGATCGCTTGACACCAAAGATGCCAGAGCATGGTCTCCATGAAGGACAATCTCCAGCTTGTATGCCCAGGCCACCAGCTTCAAGTGCACGTTCAATGTCAAAATGCCAGACGTAATTGCATGTGATCTTTTCGCAGAAGTGGCATGTTTGGCGGGCTGTTGAGCCCGCTTCTCCGACCAAGGGCCGAAAAGAAGAATCGCAGGGGCGGTCATCGCGCTTGTTTGCTTGTGTACCGCTGCCGGTGAAGGAGCAGCATTTGTTGATAACTTACAGCAATCTGCGCATGCCATCGTTTTGAAGCGGTGCAAGCCTTTCCTGACAGGAATCATGGCAGTGACGTGGCTGCAGAGCTTCTGGCTGCATGTTTCCAGAAACGACGTCACAACCCCCCTTAGCAGGCTTCTGCCTGCGAAAGTCTACAGCGATTGGAAAACGCTGGGCAAGTCAGCGCTTGTGCGGAGGAGCCTGCAGATGCTTTCTGAAATCCCATGCGCATGCTGTCATGCTTGTTCGTTTTCTTTCATGATGGAAGGGTATCTGCTGCACTTTGACTCAAGCAGTCTTTCGGCATTTGCGATCATGGTCGAAGGATATTTTGAAGGCAAACATCAGCCAAATCCAAGACAAGAGACATGGTTGCAGATGATTGTGCAGTGAAGTCATTTGTTGTTGGCCTTGCAGATCGCTTCAGTTTCGTCTTCGGCATGCATTGCCTTGATGCTCGAATTCTGTTATCATCCATCAGGTCACTGCGGGACACCCTGGATGTGCTGCAGGAACAGCAAAGAAGTAGAGCACGGCATGGGAAGGAGCAAAGTGAGCAAATGTTTGCAGTCTGTGGCAGGACTTTTCACAATTGGGTTTGCAAGCCCTGCAAGAGTCGACGCGTACGGGATGTGAGGCGACAGCAGCATGGCAGCATGGCCGGTTGCGTCTCACATTGCGCCAGGTGCTTTATGCCCTCGCAGTTGATTGGGTCTCGACTTCACTCTATGAGATCTGGACATGCAGTCGGCCAGATCCCCGACTGCAGTCGGCAGACTCTTTTGGGTCCTTGCGCTCCCTGCGGCCCTGCGTCTGTGGAGATATCTGGGCTCAGGAGACCTCTAAGGAGCTCTGCGTTGCTTGGATGCATCCAGAGGATGGTGCTTTCTTAGTTGCTTTAGATTCACGCAGTCCCTGGCATTGACATGCGACTAAACACGGAGGGCTAAGGGCTTGTGAGCCTGAGCCTCCTCTCGTCTCTCTCTCTCTCTCTCTCTCTCTCTCGCTCGCTCTCTCTGTCGCTCTCTTCGGTTTGCACGGTGTCGGGTCAAGCGCACAGCAACGGCATTCGATCTCTTCAGCTCAGCCCCACACTGACATCGGCAGTTTCTCGGGCACGTGACCCGCTCGCTGAACTCCTGCTGCTGTCGTCGAGGAAAATAGCTCACAAGGAGTGGGACACATCGTTCCTCCGAAAGTCCAAGCGGGAAGTTTTATCAATTGGGGTCTGTGGAAGGGCACATATTCACTGGCGGCATGGAGCGTCTCCCCGCAGCCGTGAATTAGCTGGTGGCCACCACGCGCGGTACATGGCACGACTTCTGTTTGCTTGCATCTTCTCGCGTTACGCTGTCTCGGAAAGGACGATTTTTGGATTTGACGCCAAACAGTCTGTTCACATCCCGGATGTTTGGTGCTTGATGGATCTACAGCCTGAACTCTTGCTATGCATTTTAGGATCTTTATTGTTCGATTCGGGAATGTAGGACAAATTGCACGCTTGCGGGAGTTTCCTAACAAACATTGTTGTCTTGGTCGGATGCTTAAGTTGTTCTTTGCTGACGGCTGAACCACCAGCACCCATGTGGCATACTCTGTCTGGTCGATAGAGTAGCCGGAACCCTCGGTGGTAATACTGATTGTCGATGTTCCTTGCGTCTTGGGCAACCTTTGCTTGTGGAGTTGCTGAAGAGTTGATTATGGCGAATTCCGACATTGTTTCAATGTCCTACTTCTTGCGTGGGGCTTCTTTTCAGGCGACCGTGGGCGAGGCATCACGGCAAACACAGCAGACCAGCTGGCAGGCCGTGAAGATGCAGCACAGCAACTCGGATCTCAGTTCATGTGAGAAGAGAGCGAGAGCGGAGAGAGAGAGAGAGAGAGCCGGTGGGCATGATGCCCGGGGGACTTGATCGTCCCCCATGCCCGGGAGAGAGAGAGAGAGAGAGAGAGAGAGCCGCTGGGGGAGCCACGTGCCCCCTTTTAATGCAAGCGTTTTCCGAACACTGAGCTTTTCAAATAGGGAGCCAGCTGCAAATTCGTACAACACGGAAGCGGGGAACCCTTCCAGTTGTAACCTTAAAACTTGATTACACCAGGGGGACACACCTACCTGTCCTCGTGACCTGCACAGTTCTTTGTTGACAGTGTTGCTGCTACCCAAGGTGGGCTCCGTAAACTGACTTTCCCCTGAACTTGTCTGGTCCTTAATCTGTTCGTGCATGAGCTAGCCTGGCCCTTAGTGTGTTGGTGCAAGAAAAGGGGGAACAGTAAGCTACCGTTGTGTTCTACATGGGAAGGTGGCTGTTGCAGGTACTAAGGAGTTTGCCATAGAGGGCGTGGAGACGAGGCCTGACTAGGGTGGTTTAGTGTTCGGGGGGATATAACAACAGCCACCCGATCTCAGCCGTACAGACCGCTGGAGCGACAACCGCTGACAAGACAACAAAGCTCCTTCCCTATAGAAACCAAACAGGGAGGGGGGCGCCTTGGCGCGGGCCAGCATGGCTCATAGAATACTCATGCCGAGATCCTCGCAAAGACGTAGTATGAACCAATCCCAGACTGTGATGTTGCAGTCCTTTAATAAATATCAACAAGCTTGCATTGAATACCGCCGCACAGCAGTACATATTGCCAACGATACAGGTTGCGATTACCTTACACAGCAAATCTGCAGAACTTTGGTTGGCTGCACATCGGCCGACCTTCCTCGAAAGCTTGCTTTGACTGTGAAAACCCATAAACCTGGCGTGCTCTCTTGCAGAAATCTGCATGTTGGCAGTGTTCAACCTTTCGGTGGTTTGAGTGCTTGGATTGGATCGATTATCTAACCGAAGCTCAAAAGCCTCCCGCACATCGTTGTCAACTCTTCGCGTCCAGCGCGGCGGCGACCATGGCTCCTGCTTTATGTGCTTTCTTCGCGGCGAGCTTGAGAGCCTCCTGTTGTTGTATATCCCGCGGCATCGGCTCCAGGAGCTGCAGATCCCCCCGAGCTATCAGCCTTCCGACAACACTGAGGTCTATGCTGCCTATGCTGCCCTCTTCGTCAGTACGTCTCTCCCCGATATACCTTCATGCTGCTGACTTGTCTGTATGCTTCCTCCAGCTCGTTGGGGTCGACGTGGTGGTTTGGTTGCGGCTGCTGTGTCCCCCGAGTGTGTGGGGACTGGCTCTGCGATTGGTGGAGCATCCTGCTGGCTATTTGGCAAATGCTGATGATCACTTCCCCCTCAGGTCCCTGCATGGTCACCGCCACATCCTGGATCGTTCCTGGTTTCTTGTTGCTTCAACAGAAAGTGGACCGCCCTTAATGCGACAAACCCCGAGTGAGATGATGTTGTCTTTTCCCGTGCATCTAGTTGTGGGATAGTCGCGCACTCAGTCGTCATGGAAAGAAAGGGGACACTGTCGCATGCCATAGTAGGCTACTACCAGGGGGAAGGTTGCTGCAGGTACCAAGCTTCAGGCTTGTGGGGGCTTTGCAGCCACCTTACACCTCAGGCCGAACCGACCTTGGGGACGACAGCCGTCCTTGCAACCCCAGAGCCTGTTCCCTACCAACCACACAGGGAGGGGGGCGCCCATGCGCGGGTGACGCTAGCCCGAACCCGTCGGAAGGAAAGAAGGAAGGGAGGAAGAGAGCTGGTGTTAGAAACGGGACATGCATGCACAGAGCTTATGTACCGGGGAAGACACCTGGATCTTAAAGTGCTTTCAAGTACTTCGTGTAGGTGTCCTATCCTGGGAAACTTTCACCATCTTTCCAATGCCCCATAATACATGGGGGGGCCCTGGTGCCCGGGATCTCACAGATCCCGTATGCCCGATGTGAGAAGAGAGCGACAAAAGGAGTGGCCCGGGGGCCTGGCACGCCCTAATTATGTATGGGAGAAGAAGAGAGAGAGAGAGAGAGAGAGAGTGTTGCTGT